AGGAATGCTGCCGAGCATCGAGCGAGAATCGTCTGCTAAGAGTGGCGGTAGAAGGGATGGAAAGAAGTGTCGGTGCGGCCGACGTCCGACTCTCCGAAGGTGGGGATTTACACGAGTGTATGCGTTTCTGCCGCCGCTTGTTCTTCCTTTCGCTTCTGAGGAATTATGAATGAGTAGCGCCGGGAGGTGTCGAGAGGTGGGGGATGATACTACTGCCTCTCGGCTCTAGGATCTGGATGTGGCGGAACGGAAAAGAGAGGCTGAGAGGAAGGGATATGGCGGGAGCAAGGGCGCGAGAGGGAGAGAGAGAGAGAGAGGGGGAGTGTGTGTGTGTGTGTGAGTGTGTGTGCGCGAGCGCGCGAAGGGCAGTGGGATATGAGAGAGAGATGAAGACAGGGAACGAAACCTCTCCCTCGATTAGGGTCACAGTAGGAAAAACAGTGGTGGGGTCGGGTTGAAGAAAGACATCTTGCAAATGCGGGGTAGACGATCCATGCGTTGTTGAAACACCAATAGCAGTGGTAGTTGTAGCGGCAGAAACCACGTGCTTGCAATAACGCATATACAGTGGATCTTCGAGGATCTTCCCCTCACATGCAAACGTGGTGACGAGAAGCGACGGGAGAATGAGAGAGAGAGAGAGAGAGAGAGAGAGAGAGAGCGAGAGAGGCATGAGATGGCATAAGTGAACAGAGGTGAGACAGAGAGAGGAGTGACAAAGACCGACGAAGACATCGTCCACCTTCCACTTCCACAACTACCTTCCGCAGGTTCACTTCTACTACAGCGAAAGAAAGAAGGAGACAGAAGAAAGCACAGCGGCTCTGACTGTGGGATTTGTTATATACCTACCTACCTCACCTTTAAGCGCGTCACACACAAACGGCGGCCGCTGCCGCGCCACAGGAGGTGATACAACGCAATCTCTTTCTTCTGTCTTTCTCTCTCTCTCTCTCTCTCTCTCTCACTCTCCCACTCACTCACTCACTCAGTCACTCACTCACTCACTCACTCACTCACTCACTCACTCACTTACTTACTCAGTCACTCAGTCACTTATTCACTCGCTCGTTCGCTCGCTCGCTCGCTCGTTCGCTCGTCTCTCACCTCGAGGAGAACCAGCCACGAGGAGAGGACTCACTCACTCAGTCACCTTCTGACACTCGGCCGAGTACGACATACACACGCACGCACGCACGCACGCACGCACGCATGCACGCACGCACGCGTACCTGTACATGAGTGCGTGCGTTCGCACCCTTATTAAATATATACCGAAGAGGACGGATCATCTACTCCCACTAGCGTCCAAGTATCACCCCTCTCAAAGAGGACTCGGATACGCGAGAGAGGAAGAGTCCGCTATAAGTATCTGTGTATTACATGCGTCCAAGATCAGTGTCCGAAGAATTGTGATAGCACGCGGAATGTTTTTTGCATCGGATCGTAATTAATTTCACTCCATGTCGTTGCCTTACTGCAAGTGTCATGTACAATCGGACATTGGCTAGCGATCGCGCGGTGGATGCTCTACCGTGTCCCCGTGACCCCCCTCGTCATCCCGATAAGATGACATCGTCAGCCAACACCGTAAGCCCCGACGACTCGAGGACGATGGAGGAGATTTTGAAAAGGGACCAACGGACTACCTACCACCGGGTGCTCGATCAGAGGCAGAATCAACAGTTGCAACCGCAAGCAAGTGCAGTGACAGCCAGTAAATCCGTCATCGGTGATACGATGACCAAGTGTTGTGGTGATGACGTTTGTTATAATGCTAGTTCATGTAGTAGTAAACGCTGGACGCAGGACGTTGATGTGGAGAGTCAGAATCAGGTGAGAATGTACTCAAAAGTGTCGAGCGTCTGTGATGATGGTCAGGAGTGTTATGGAATGTCGAGTTATCATGTGGACGTTGGTATGAGAAGAGCAAGATTTGCTATTGCTTGCACCACGTGGCTGAGTAAGTTGAACCTGATTATTTCGTTTTCCTTAAAACAGTATTATGAATTGATTTTTTATTTTGTTTTTGTTTTTGTTTTTGTTTTTGTATTATGTTGTTGTTGTTGTTGTTGTTGTTATTTTTTTTTTTTTAATTTATTTTTTTTTATTGTTGTTGTTCTTTTTTTTTTTTTTTATCACGCGATAGAAGGCGATTGGAGCTTTAGAGATCTTTTTCATTGGTCGTCCCATTGTTTTAAGGGCATTTTTTTGCAAAATAGGAATTATGCGTGTAAGAATTATATTTCAAAGGGACTGAAATAATGATAAATTAACTGATGTTTTATTATTAGCTAAGTTATCATTAACTAATTAATGTTAAGCGTTAAGTGAGGAACTCAAAGCTGAAAAAAGTTAGTTCCTCAATTTTGTTTCGTGTTGAACTTTGGTCAGCTTTTCTTAAATTATGATATTATTTAATAACATCAAGGAAATTCCTTACTCATTAATGCGCAAACCGAAATAATATTTTTTCAATAATACTTGAAAATATGTACACTGGGCATAAAATGTTAAAATTATATGAAAATCAATTCTGATAAATTTCTTCGACTTCCTACCATAAGTACGCACCTTAAACTTTGAAAATTCAATAAAGACACATCTGGTTTAATAGTATTATTGCTTCACGTGTTAATTCAATGTAATTTCTCGTGTTGTCAGATATTAAACTATTATATCAAGGAAGGGCTATCTATACTCAATCTAATTAAAGTCAAACCGCAAAATCGTTTCGCCCGAATAGACAATTGTTTGAAGTGCTGTTTGACTTTGCTGGGGAAACACTCAGCTTCTCTATGTCTCTTCAAGAGCTTGATTCCGAAGTAAGCTCGATAATCTATTGATATTCCACTAGGCCGATATTTCTAACTTTGTCCAAATGGTTCCCAAGCTACCTGCACACTTTCTAGTACGAACTTTCCAAGTATACCCCGGAAAAACCAAATCTCGTCTCGACGGCGCGGGGTAGGTAACTGGCGACGGCGGACTGTATTTGTCCATTTGTCCAATTTGTCCATTCTTAGATAAGTATAACAAAGATGATCTTGCAACTTGGCTGGATCAGTTTTCGAGTGTGCCGGCGCCTAACGGAAATCGTCTGTCGAGCGCTTTTTTTTTTTTAACGGCCGGAAAAGCAGTGGCTTCGTGCTTCGATTAATTTATTCTGCCGCCGCTTGTCCATTGACTCACTACTCGCAACTTTTGCCCGCTTAATTCTTACTCTAACATTTGCTCGTCTATTTTCTTCGTCTACTATTGTTCCCGTCATTGGTTTACTTTAATTTATTCATTTTCAGATTTTCGCACCGTAGAGGAACGAGATTATTTATTTTCCGAAAGCTTATTTAATTATATTTCTTTTTAATTATTAACAAATTTTGATCGATTAATTGACTTCATTTATTATAATAATGTAAAAATAATTGGAAAACAATGTAAAAAAAACACGTTTGATATAATGATAAGATAATTTGAAAAATTTATTGGAATATGTAAATGACGTATCGATTTATAAATTTATCTAGCGCGTTGATGAAACTGAAAGTATAGTATAATATTTCACTAATTTATTATTTATAATATTGATATATCACATTGGAATTACACGAAAATTACCAATGTTTCAATAATATACAATAATTTTCATTAATTTTTCATTACATTTTTCATACATTTCATACATTTAAGTATAAAATATTTAATTGATTAATTTTACAGATTAATCGATGATTTATTTATTTATAATATCAATAAAAAAAAAAAAAAAAAAAAAAAAAAAAAAAAAACATTGTCAAATGACTAATAATTCACTGGATAAATTAGCAGTAAAAGGTTCGATATTCATAGTTTTTCATCTAAACTAATTTGTATTAATGCGGTGAAAATTTTTCATACCAATACTATTGGCTATTATAAAAAATTATTTGCCACTTTTCACCATAAATTCAAATACTTTCACAATTAAAAATTCCGAAATATATTACGCATAAAAACATAACTAGCCAACGCCACTCTTTTATCCTTTTTTACTTATTATTCTTGAAGTAGCCAAACCAGAGTGCCTTGGTTCAACGCACGATATTTCATGCTTTATTTGCGCTTCGTTTTTTTCCATGATTCAGACAGAATTCCCACGGCATTAAAGAAAGAGAAGAAAAAGTAAAAAAAAAAAAGAAAAAAAAAGAGAAAATAACTAAGTGAAATCATGAGGCGCCTAACGGACTGAAACAAGCTCGCGCGATGAGTCCGTCGAAAATCACGTCGCACTTTGATTATTTTCGTACACGTACACACATGCACCTATTCTCTATTTGGTGGTCTACATTTAGTTGAAAAAATTCGATATCGTTTACTTGGTTGGTGTGACTTAATAAAACTATCGCTTAATCATTTGGTAAACTTATGTACGAGTACGATATTTTAATATCTCATTATGAATATGTTCAAGTTGGTTTTACATCTTATTATTCATATCGATGTATAGTAGTGATCTGTGAAAATTTCTATCCCCTACTCTTATAATCTTAATATTTTTATGTTAATTTCCAAGATAGGGCTATCGAATTCTTAATTTACATTTAAAAATATTCCACCGTGAATAATCTAAGTAGATATATTCCATCTGTTAATTTTCACTTATTTAAATCACTCGTTGGTACAATACGCCGGACATTTTATCGTTTCGCACTGCCGACGCGTTACGATCTGCCAAAGAATCCTGTTTTTCTACATGCTTAAGTACAAGCGTTGGTATATATTGCAGAAAGGGGTTACGAGCCTCAATAATTTATTGCAACTTAACATTACAGTAATTGACCCATCTACGCCTTTTTCTTTTATATTTATATTGTTTCCGATGCCGATGACTTAACCAAACCAATCGCTTCGTACTATTTTTATGCGTACAAATATATATATATAAACACCCATATAATATTTACTGTATTTTTATAATCCTAATGCTAACAACTATATTTCTTCTTTATCTTTACATTTAGATAAAATATGCGTATAATAATGGAAATAATGCTTCATTAAGCCACGTTGCAAAAGATATATAATATACTTAAAATAGCATCGACCTCATAATTAATTTCTTTAATCCCAACTTAATCGCGAATGTGACAAATCATAAAGAACCTCATGCGTGCATCGCATACAATAAACTAATTAATTTATTGTTGTTGTTGTTGTTGTTGTTGTTGTTGTTGTTGTT